CTTTTTGAGACAGGGTCTCCCTGTAGCCCCAGCTGTCTCCTGGAACTCACTATGTAGACCAGGCTGGCCTTGAACTCACAGAGATCCACCTGCCTCTGCCTCCCAAGTGCTGGGATTAAAGGTGTGCACCACCATGCCCGGCCAAGAAATGCAGTCTTTTATTTGAAACAGAAAACAATAGTAGCCTTTAAGGACTGAGAAATATGCTGCAGACCCATTTCTTAAGACTTGTTCTAGCACTCATAGTCAAATTAAGTCATCTTTAAATTTCAGTCTCTGATATATTAGAAAGAAATTTGATAGTAGCCAGGAAAGTCCTTTTTTTTTATTTTTATTTTATATGTATGAGTGTTTTGCCTGCTTGTGTTTAGATGTGCCACATGCATGCAGTGCCCACAGAGGCCAGAAAAGGGCATCAAATCCTGTTGAACTGGAGTTATGGGTGGTTGTTAGCAGCCATGTAGATCCTGGAAACCAAACCCAGGTCCTCTTCAAGTACAGGCAGTGCTCTTAACCACTGAGTCATCTCCCCAGCCCCCAAGAAAGTTCTTATGGAAATTTTTCAAATAATTCTGAATGCCTGTCATCCTTTATGAATTATAGGGTAAACAGGTCATAGTGTGTTCCAAAAATCTTGCTTAAAATTCATTTCTGGTACCAGTGAGATGGCTCAGCAGGTAAAGGCACTTTGCTGCCAAGCCTGATAAACCTGACTTCGATCCCTAGAATCCCACATTGTGGACCAGAAGCAGAGAACTGACTCCCACAAGTTGTTTTCTGATTTCCACATGCAGCAGGTAAAAATGTGGATGTGGGTGCGTGCTCATGTGTGCGCGTGTGCACGCACGCGCATACACACACACACACACACACACACACACACAATGTAATAGAAAGGAAATTAACAGTATTTTAATCTTTTTTTATGAGTGTTGATTCCTACATATATGTAAGTGCAGCTATGTCATGCAGTGCCCATGGAGGTCAGAAGAGGCATCACATCCCCAGGAACTGAAGTTACAGATGGTTGTTAGCCACCATATGGGTGCTGGGAATCAATCCTAGATCTTCTGCAAGAGCAGCTAGTGCTCTTAACCTCTGAGCCATCTCTCCAACTCCAATAGTATTTATTTTTAAAAGTCTTTTCTCTTTATTTCTAAGTTTCCCATAAACATACAAATCTCTTCTAAGAAAAAATTATTCCTGAGTATACTTAATGGCAAATATTTGGAGCACTCTACAGCTCTGAGATATTTTAGACCTATATAATATTTAGGTTATTTCCTTCTTAACATTTATGACCTGTTTCCATAGCATTTTTTGAGCTACTTGGAAAGTAATGAAGAAATTGTTCTGTAGTTGGAATCGATATGTTGCCAAGTTCATTCAAGAAAAAACAATAGTTTAGACATCAAGATAAATTCTTCAACGGACTTGGTATTTTCAATCTAGGATTGGATTATTGAACCACTAAGAGTTTTGAAGATTATATCTGTCTCTAAGAATATTATGATAAATTCAAGTGTCCTCTTCAGCTAGGAATAAAGCATCTAAAAAATACTTTGTTCTTAGGTGGCAAGCAGTTAAGTACGTACGATCCATTCAATAGAAATCCTTTGTTCTGTGGAGCTGAAAATACAAGTCTTTGGGAACTCAGAAAGGTAAAATAGTTTCATACTGTCTTTTAAATCATTTGTTTATATATTCTTGCCCTCATAGCTTTTAACACATTGAAGATTTTATTTTGCTTGCAAATGATACAGAATCTAATAAACATGAAACTTCCATACTTGTGGGAGAATATTCTGTAATGTGTTCATTTTATAGAAAAATTTAACTAATGTGCATGCAAATAGAGACACCTTACATGGCTTATAAGTAAGAACATGGATTATTGCATGTAACTGCTCTGCAAAATGGATGTACTTTGCTTTATGAATTAGATATCTGCAACGTTTTGTGATAATAGAAGTTTTTTTACTAAGTTATTTTATAAATGCAGAAGAGGAATTTTAATTTCTTTCTGTGACTTCTTTTATAAAAAGCCAGTGAGTGTCTTCCTGTGCAGTTATTCTCCATGAGTGACCACAGACCCTTCAGGGCCCTCACACCAGTCCATTGAGTATGTACAGTCACAGCCACTTTTATAGGAATACCAAGATGGTGTTTGTCTCTGTCACTGCCTTGGGAGTGGCACAGGTGATAGGAAAGAAATGAAGGGTAACATTGCTGATGCCCTGACACAAATCAACATGATGGCACAAAGCTGCATTGGTAGCTGTTGAATTCATCCTTAATATTCACTCCCATGTACTTGTAGAAGAGAAGGAAAAAATAAGTCTTTGTCACTTGAGCATAATCACGCAGGAAGGTAGTGATCTGAACATCTTGAGTTTAAAGTGTAGGCCCATTTTCTGAGTGTATAATAAGAATGTATAGTGCACTTCCACTGCACCCAAGAATGTGTATCTCAAGGACAAGTTATTCAACTGTGCCAAACTCACGTGGCTGCTTCATCATAGACTGACATACAGTTACTCAGACCTGGTTATTTGAGAGACATTTTCTAGAAAATTATAATCTATTCTGTTGCTTCAGGCAAGATTAGTTAATAGTATTTGTTGTCGGTGACAATGAATTCTTCTTTATCTTTTTCTGTATTCATGTGAACACTTGAGGAGAATCTAGCCTCAAGCAGACTGAAGGAGTTAAGCTGGGCATGGTGGCACACGCCTTTAATCCCAGCACTCAGGAGGCAGAGGCAGGCAGATCTCTGTGAGTTCAAGGCCAACCTGGCAAGTTCCAGGCCAGCTGGGGCTACTGGGAGACCCTGTCTCAAAAAGACCAAAAAGAAAAGACAAAAAAGAAAAAGGAGTTAATAAGTCTTTCACATAGTTGTGGATTTTCTTCTTTGATGTTATACTGAAATTGAAATTGCAGAGTAGAATCTGAAGCCAAACCAACTGGCTTTGGGCATTTGTTATTTACAGTTAATTGGTGCGCTCTGAATGCGTGTCTTAGCCACATATGAATTTGGAACACTGCAAACTGGTCATCTGAAAAACACTGAATGAGTTAATTTTACAAGATTATATTGTCAGTGTGTCCACAACAAATACTATTAATTAGTCTTTTGAAGCAACAGAACAGATTACATTTTCAAGAAAATGTTTCTCAGATAACCAGCCAGATATTAAAGAGATTTGGAGAATTATAAACTAATGCTGTTCTTCTAACTTTATAATTTTTGTTGAGAGAAATGTTTATCATAAACATTTACATTAATATGTGATGGATTTATTATTTTAAGTGAACTATATTTTAGTTTTCTCTGTTGTGATTTCTAATAAAGTAAATATAAATATATATAACCCACTTACCTGAAAGCTATTAAAATCCTTGATTTTTTTTTTTTTCTTAACTATGTAAACCAGGCTGGCCTTGAACTCACAGAGATCCACCTGCCTCTGCCTCTGCCTCTGCCTCTGCCCCTGCCTCTGCCTCCCAAGTGCTGGGACTACAGACATATGCCACCACACCCGGCTAAAATCCTTGATTTTTAAGTGCATACATAGTTTGAAAAACAAAATGTTTGAGTATTACTTTTTGATGTATTAGCTTAAGTTTTAGTTCTATAGATTTTCTCAAATAATTTTACTAAGAATTGACCCTAGAAATAATGACATTCACATTCTTCTTTTATAGTTATCTGAGCATTTTCATCCCTCTGTGGCCCTTTTTGCAAAGACTATCCTTGAGGTGAGTTTCAAGTACTCAAGATAAGAAGAAAAAAATAAGTAATTAGTTTGGGGTTGCCGATAATTGCTCATACAATGTTTTCCCTACCACATAGAGTCTCATGTTTTAGTGCCCATGTCAAGGAGCAATGACTTATTTACTATAGAGCAACAAACAGTTCTTCCCGTTTTGAGATGAGTGGAATTGGAGAACACTGGAAAGTAGCAGTTTCTTGTAGTCTGGCCCTTATGTGGTCTTGTTCTCCTTCCTTCCTGAGTTTGATCCTCTATCTATATATTAGCAGTGTATTATAAAGTATGTATTTGCATGTTTAGTTTTTTTAGTATAATGTACATTAGAGGAATATTTGAGGATTACTTGTTGCTTGTATGTGCCTTTGATGTGATGTCACAGAAGCTTACAGGTTTTTCTGTTTTCATATCTGAATTTTTTTTTTTTTAACTAAATTCCTAAATCTCCTACTTTCTTCCTGCTTTTCAGGGAAATTATATTCAGTATTCAGGGGACCCACTCCAGGATTTCACACTAATGAGATTCTTGGATCGATTTGTATACCGAAATCCAAAGCTACATAAAGGCAAAGGTATGCTTCCTAAGGAGCTGTTTGGTTTTCACTGCTAGTGTTTAATAAATAATATGAACAGATAACCAGGTCTTACATTAGACTGTCATGATTTTACATTTCAGAAAACACTGACAGTGTTGTGATGCAACCAAAGAGGAAACATTTTATAAATGATGTCCGTAATTTTGCTGGTAAGTATAAAATTTAGATAGTTGAAGCCAAAAGAAAAATATAATACAGCCTAAGTTATATTCTCTCCTCAAATTTGTCAGAATAAAATTTTCAAACGTATCCAAAGTAAATAAAATAGTACAGTGGAGCCCTGTAGCCATCACTGGCTCCAGCATTATTGGTGTTCTGCCATGCTCAGACTATAGCTCCATCAATAACCCCAATGTGTTTATAATCATTATCTTTTACAGTTGAGGCCATCTTAGACTCTTCTGATATTGGCTGAGAACAGAAAGTATGAAGCTGGTTTTTTCATGGGGCAGCCTTTTAAATGTAGTTCTTAGCCTCCTGTAGACATGTGTTTAGAGCCCACCTTCTAGATCTAATTCTGCTTCTCTGATCAAAGCAGACATGTCCATACATACCAGGTCCTACCTATATCTTGCTTAGAGATTAAAGTTAGACTTACTAATCATTTTATTTCCAGCTAACCTCACAGAAATCCAGAAATGTCAATAGAATTACTCAGTTAATCAGAATTAGAAGCCAACTCTTTCTACCAAGTCAGAAATTTTAATTATATAAGGAAAACTAATATTCTTGAGTTCCTTATTCATATTTTTTTAGTTTTCCTTAAGTAAAATTATGGAAGATTCTGTGTATCTTTCCTTCCTGTTTTTAGAATGGCAAGCACTCTTGTCACTTTCTTTTTAGACAGCCAGACTGTGTTTCTGGTTAAGCATATAATGGTACATGTCTGTGATCCTGCATGTGGGAAATGGAAGCAGTAGGATTAGGACTTAAAGTCATCCTCTGCTACCGTAATGAGTTTGAGGTAAACCTTGACTACATGAGACCCTTGTCTCCACATAAAGGCCAACCATAAAAAGGAGATGGGGAGAAACTTTAAAGTGATAATTATTAAAGGAACTCTTTGGTGGGCTAGACAGATGGCTCAGCAATTTAGGTTGCTTGCTGCTTTTGCAGAGAACCCAAGTTCAGTTCTCAGCACCCATGTTGGGCTGCTCACAACCACCTGTAACTCCAGCTCCAGGGAGATCCAACACCTCTGGCTTCTGTGGGCACATGGACTCACATGTGCATATACAGTTAACACACACAAAAAAATAATAATAATAATAAATCTTTAAAAAGAATGAATTCTGAATTTCTATTTCTCTTGAAACTTGGGTCCTGGCTACAGTAGGACAGTGACTATGATCTTTGACTCTGGCTGTGTACTGTACTGCCTGCTTTCTCGGTACACAGCCAATAGATTCAAATGCAAAGACTTGCCCACACACTTTTCCAGAATTGTCCTTTTCACTCCAGGATCTTTCATCCACCTTTCTCATATTTTTTTTTAATTTAATAACCACATGATTAGAAGAAGCATTTCATTACAGTTTTAACATATCCAGTAACACATTTCAGAGCAAGGATACATCTCTTTCACAAGTGGCTGTAAGGTTCACAGTTGAATTTTTTTATTTTTATTTTATGAATATGAGTGCTATGCCTTCATACGTTTTTAGGTTCACAGTTGAATTAATACAGTTATACAATATTGAACTCAGTATAAACCCTGTAAGACATAAAATTGAGTTTTTACCCTTTAAAGATCTCCATTTCATTTTAAATGTTGTTTCCTACATTTTTAATGCTACTAACACGTTTGCACGTGTCTTTAATCTCTATGTATCTGATTATTACTAGTCACAGTCGGTTACACTCAGATCCTTAGTACCTGAGTATGGATATAAAGTCATCAGGTAGATTTCACTGGTAATGTTTATCACCTCTACTGTTTAACATGAAGTAGATTTTTTTTTAATTTTTAATAACTACATGATTAGAAGATAAGACTTTAGAATTGTCACTGTGCAGATTTAGTCTTAAGGGCTTGAATAGTATAAACGGGATGACGGTACTAAAGTGGTATATTTTTGCAGTGAATAGTAAAGAGTTCCTTGCAAAAGAAGAAAGCCAGATACCAGTGGATGAAGTGTTTTTCCACAGGTAATATACTTAATATAGTTTCATTTGGAAAGCTGTTTAAATTTTTAGGTTCAATACAATGTTTTATCATCATTGGCCTATTTTGAAAAGATCAATCAACCTTTTACTATGTGTTTGTTGTACTGTTGTTTCTGTGGTGAGAGATCAAATGTAGGGCCTTACTCATGCTAGGCAAGCACTCTTATCACATAGACATTTAGCCCTTGCTATGCTGTATTAAAATGAATTTGGAGAACCAGAGTATAAGACATTCAAATTTTATAAGTTTATTAGACTTCACTAGAAGGGCATGGTGGACCTGTAATACCAGCACTTGGGAGACAAAGGCAGGAGAAGTTCAAGGCCAATAACTGTATAGTGAGCTCCAGGCCAGCTTAAGCTATGTGGTGAGAGTCTGTTTCAAAAAAAAAATTCCCATTTCAAAAGTTTATAGCAATTTTAACTCAAAACATCTTTTATATAGTAAATACAAATTTCACTCATTGGGGTCCACTTAAATATACATAACACACTTTTACAATTGCAGCTTAGTCATACATTATCAGATATATAATATGCATTTTACTTTAGGTATTATAAAAAAGTTGCTGTTGTTAAAGAGAAACAAAAATGGAATGCAGATGAAGAAAGTATAGAAGATGTTGATGATGAAGAATTTGAACAGATGATTGGTAATTTGTTTTTTAATATACAACATTCGTGATAAAAGTGAACCTAGTTTTTAGAAATCATTTATCTTCAAATTACAATGGAAGACCGAGAAACAGCATATAATAAACCATCCATATTTGTTCTAAAAAATACATTATTGTATTTTGTACAGTATGTGAGAAAGTTTTATTTGCTAGAGGATTTCATTCCTAAGACCAAGTCTCTGGTGAGATGGAAACTACATATTGCTCCTAATCTCCTGGTACTATTTTTAGCAAGTCTGCTGTTTTCTTTTTTGTCTTTATAATCCACAGAACCTGAGACATTTTAATTGAAATAGTCAAATGAAAGAAAATACATGGAAACTGGGAGGACTTATTTCAGTGTTACCCGTACACCTAGTAGAAAGAAACACAGTTCTTACAGAATAAAAAGAACTATAATCACTAAATGCCATTTAATATTGGTTTTCCACAAAAGAACTACAGAGCGAAGTTGAAATTCACTGGAACCCATTTTAGTTTAGAGG